CCCCCGTCGCCGATCTGCGCCTTTCGATTCTTTTCCTTGACAAGGTAAATGAGACTCGCCCGTGTACGTGCAGAGCGTAAGCACATCGTTTTTTTTCTGTAAATTGCCTAATTTCAACAAAAATACGGAATTCTACAGCGCTTTTTGAGCTAATCCACTCTACAGCCCCTCAATTTACTACGATTGTAATCTCAGGACGATCCCAGCGATTCACGGTCACTAAATGTAGGAGTCGGTACCGAACGAGCTGATCATTTTGTGGAGACAATAATTGATGGCCTATCCGGCGGAGAACGGTAGGAGTCTCGATCAACTCACTACCTAACCTTCAACCTCAATGCAACTCCTGACATCAGAGAAATTTAGGTACAACTTTACCGTACGTGCTGTGACTGAAGCCGGTACAGGAGAATTGCCGGCTACACCGCTTGAACCTGTGAAGATGCCAATCCAAGGTAGGATGCTTTGCACGCTTTTCTTGAACAGTTCTTTTGATCGATATCAGATGAGGGTAATAAAAATATTGGAGGCACATTCCTCGATGGCTCGATAGGGGAACCTCCCCTATACAAGAACTCTGGTTACAATCACCATATTCGCGGCTTGAGTGAGTGACCGGGAGGGGGGGGGGAGCTGCGGTAGTCACGTAAAAGGAACACCGCCTGTGGAAGCTACTCCATCCATCTGAGGAAGAGATATCGTACGGTTTCAGACCGACTTAAAAGAGATCGACTTAAATTGCGTACAAGCCAAGCTCGATTTCACACTGTTTCCTCACAAATTCCATAACATCAAACGTGAAACTTGCAAAGATTCCATGTGTTGCTTGCTATTTGCAAGATGTGGGCTGGCAAAAAAAGATACAATACCCTAAATACAATTACCCTGACACAAATGCGAAGGCTTAGCGATACGATCTACAATAACCTGGTTGATAGAAATCCTCTGTTCTGCGGAGCAATCTCAGCGGTTCTCCCACCTTCGCGACTTGTCTGGGGCTGTCGTTCTTGGAAGGAACGCCAGCCGTGGGAGGTACCCCGCCTCCACGGGGACGAGATGTGCCGGCGCGCCTATATCTATAGACCTACATGACGACGACATATATGACATGCTGCATCCATTCTTTGCAGGGCCGACCTTGTCCCGCTCATCTTCCAGCTCGTTTTCCTGTTCTCCCATGTGTTTCGCCCGCACAGTATTCTCTCGCTTACTTGGGTGCTGATCTGTTTGTGGGACTTTATTAGCGCACTTCCGGATCAGATGTCCTGGAATGTACCTCTACCTGTCCGTTGGAATTATTCCCTCCATTAGATTCTATGTTTTCTTGGTGAGTCTTAAAGGTACATCCCATACTGGGTGTATGGTCGGACTCAGGCTTAACCCTTTTTACTGGCACGGTCCTGGTTTCTGAGACGACAAAGACTGGGAGGCACGCCATTAAGGAACGAGTAGTCGTAGGCGCGGCTCCTGCCATTTGGATTGAATGGAATGTATTAATCTTCATCTGCTCACGTTCAGCACTGTCTCATGGACAACGGTGACATGCATAGATCACAGGAGAAGAACGGGGGGGGGGCTCTGTTTGAGTCATATTCAATGGAGCAGTTATAATCTGTTTTCTCATGAACTGCAATTCAGAAGAGTTCTTTCTTGACTAGAATTCCAGTCAAAAGCAGGTGAATTGCTCCATGAATACCGACCCAGTCTCATTAAAGCAGAGTGGACCCATTCCACTGATCTGCTGATTCGGGGGTCCTTATTCTGGGATGGGGAAGAAGGAAACCGCACAGTCTAAGTGATTCGGCGAATTGGCGTGAAATGGTGCCTTCAACAGAACCACTTTCTATGACGCGTGTGACATAAGTACCCGGAACATTTTTTGATCCTTTTCGAGTCGCTTATCTTCATCATTTCTGAGTAGCTTGTTTCTCATTCAAGTCTCGCTAAAAAGTGGATTCACCTCCTTGATTGATTCCCTCTTCAGTTAATGGTATACCTTTTACAATGACTAGACTAGAGTTTTTCCTGGCCTTCACTGAAACTACGTCGTCGACACGACACGACCTAGACGTCGTTGGTTTTTTGTAACACTTGACATTCTTTCTGAAGTTTCGTGACTGTATAAAAGCAGGAAAACAGGTGTAGATTTCAGTCATCAGACTAGTTTATGCGGTCTTCTTTCGTAGAATCGCTATTTCCACAGAGTTATAGATGCTTTTCTTGTCTAGATTACAAGTTTTCTTCCAATCGTGCTAATCTCATCTTCTTCAGAAATAGAGTTGGGTCTCGGGTTTGGAGCAGCACAAAGTTGGGTTCCATGGGGTGACGTCATTTTTCGGGTGCATAAGACAATTCTACACTTTGAGTTGGAAAAAATTCGGGAGGTTTTGGCTGTTTGCTGGCCTGTAACTGCGTTTTCTCCCAAGCTTCCGGACCAAGGCATGTCGTAGGTAGTAATACTCAGCCGGTCGTATTGGTCGCTGAAGGGAGATGAGTCGTATCCTGCGAAAATTTTCCTGAACGGCAGGGCCTGTCCTGTTTCGGGCACAGTTGATGCAGCGCCAAGCATCGCTTAGCACGCGCGCGGTCCCGTGTCAAGCCAGCAATCGCCCCCTCCGCGGGCTGCACTCACAAGTTTATGGCCGTGTACGCTGATAACCAGACCATTTGGCGGATAGGTGTTAGTCGTCCCATTGTGGAAGTTACTGTGTAGGATTAATTCGCATTCAAAAAGCCACTACGATTATGAATGGATGTGGAGTGTGTGGCTCACCCCAGGAAGGGAATTATCAACTCCGAAATCTTCGCTGTCTATTCTTCATTTTTCTCATATTTGAGCGCAGCGTTCGGCGAGACTTAGCCCAAATCCGGATCTCAAAGTGACGTCGATTTGCGCCACGCTTTTCTTTGAAGGCATACTATCTACATATGAGAAACGAGGTGTCTTGCGCAAGCATTGAGGGGGGGCGGGGGGTCGGGGCGGGGGTGGGGGGAGTAGATGCGAGCGACTTGCACAAGTTCCTCTTCAGAAAGACATAAGGTAGAGGCGTTAAGGAACAAAGTAACTCCGCCCTCGGTGCTAGCTGTCGTCTTGCGCCTATGCCAGCTCTATCTCTCTCGCTGCTGTGTCCTCTCTCCCAAAACCTCTCAAATCTGAGGAGACGATTCTTTGCCTCTAGAACAAGGTGGGCCTGTTTGGAGCGTTTTCTATGTATCCTTCTGCTTTTTACTTCACCGCCAAGTTTACGCTTATACACATCTGTTTTTCAACCCTGCTACCTATGAAGTTCTAGATGGCTTATCGCGAATTCCGCCTTCAACGTCACAGATGCGTGACACAAGGGCATTGAACTTATACTTTTCTGAACTTCTTCACGTCACTCTTGGGACGTAGTCACTCACTGTATGTTTTCCACTGAGAATAGTGGTCTCACCTGTCTTTGTACTCTCTTGCAATTCAGTCTAATATCTCGTGCATGCGCTCAGTGTTCCTACGCTAGCTTCGCCAGAGGTCCCGCGCCAAGACCCTCTCGACCCTTCTTCTGCTTTTTTTTGTCTAGCGGGCCAGTTAGCACCCTCAGAACTGATCATAAAGGTCGTCACCCACACTGTTTCACCATGTGCTCTCTAGTCTGATGCCGATTCCGTGTTATTAGGGCCGTTCGCTCAATATTCCTGCAAATATTCTGCAACACACCAATGACTTCAGCAGTTGTATTTGCATCTCCGGTACTGCTCTTGACACCCATGACGGGCTCACGTTATCGCAGTGCACTCGGCTCGGCTACTCGCTTTGTCTTCTTATAATCGGCTTTCCACTAGGGGTTATGGTGAGCGTGATAAGCTATCGCGTTACTGAGATCGCGCTGCGTCCGACCCACCTGGAGAAACCCTCTTCAATGGGTGGGACCAGCTGACATGAGGCAAGAAGGAGACTAGCCACTCTCCCTCCCCCTCCGGAGCAACATTATTCTGTTCTTCCCTGTTGGTACCTATCATTCTGCACCGTCCCGTTTGAGAACCCCGCTGCAATTCGCTCAGTAGTGTGTCAAGAAGGCACTCACACCGTTCAGACATATTGCGTACGATGGTGGAGAAGGCGCGGAGGTGGCGTAGTGCAAGTGGTACTCTTACCAAGCGCACGGTCCTAGGAACAAATCCTGGATTGACTCTCGCTAAGGCCAGCCAAGCCCTCTATCTTCAGGGACAGTAAATTGTGCCAGATTTGCCTGGGAG